AAAAAAAAAAAGCACCAACTTTGGTCAGCTTTCGGGACTCGAGGCTTGCTTACGCCTTGCGTGGAGATGGTTAATGAATCCAGTGTTTTTGCAGTTGCAAGCTTGTGCATTCGCTGTGCACCGCTGACTGCAGGCTTTTGCAGTGGCAACAGCGCGCCAAAGATATTAATTACACCGTGCCCCTTTTTTTCCACGAATGTTTGGCTATTGTAAGTTCGGAGCTTTTATTTAATTTTATTTATTTTGTTTTGTTTCATTTTCCCTCTCCCCTTGATAATATTTAACCTTTCTCTTCCTTTTAGCAGGGAGAACTTTGCTGGGCGGGGGAGGGGGGTCCTGCATGGAAAGCTTCGTCTGTGAAATAAAGTTAGCAGTGGGGAGCTGGGGGGCTCTGACCTGTTCCAGTTTTAAGGGTAACGATGTGATATTTTTGAGGAATATGGAAGCATTTATTTTTACGCCTTAAAAAAAAAAAAAGAAGAAGGAAAAAAAAGCATCACAGCAGTTCACTTGTAAATCTCAGTGCTGCCAGGGCGCTCGGCTGGGATACACAACAGAGCTTGCCTATATTTTTAACAGCTGGCTGTGATTTTTAACTCCACTTTCTTACCACCCGGAGGACGTCTTTTGATTTTATTTTTTTATGTGTGGGGTTGCCTTTTGTCGCGAGCGGGGAGGGGGCCGGGGGGCGGATTTGCCTTGTTTGCCTTGGCTTTTTTTTTTTTTTTCTTTCCTTTTTTTTTTTTTTCCCTCCCTCCTCTCTCCTTCTCCCCTTCCCTTCTGCTTTTTTTTTTTTTTTTTTTTTTTCCTTTTTTTTTTTTTTCCCTCCCTCCTCTCTCCTTCTCCCCTTCCCTTCTGCTTTTTAAGCCGTGTTTATTTTGCTGAGCCTGCCCGTGGCGGGGGCGGGGGGCGCTTGGCTGCTGGGGCTGCTGCCGGGGCCGGGGCGATGCGCGGCGGGTCGGCGGGCGCGGGCGGCTCCGCGGCCGCGGAAGGAGGGAGGGAGGAAGGAGGGCGAGCGGCTTTGTGCGCGGCCGGGCCCGCGAGCCTCCTGGGTGCACATTTCCTCTCCTTGTCTCCTTGTTTTTGTCAGCGGTTCAGCGAGGAAGGATGCCGCCGAGCCAGCCGAACCCGGGCCAGTACGCGCTCACCAACGGGGACCCCCTCAACGGGCACTGCTACCTCTCGGGCTACATCTCGCTGCTGCTGCGCGCCGAGCCCTACCCCACGTCGCGCTACGGCAGCCAGTGCATGCAGCCCAACAACATCATGGGCATCGAGAACATCTGCGAGCTGGCCGCGCGCCTGCTCTTCAGCGCCGTCGAGTGGGCCCGCAACATCCCCTTCTTCCCCGACCTGCAGATCACCGACCAGGTGGCCCTGCTGCGCCTCACCTGGAGCGAGCTGTTCGTGCTGAACGCGGCGCAGTGCTCCATGCCGCTGCACGTGGCGCCGCTCCTGGCCGCCGCCGGCCTCCACGCCTCGCCCATGTCCGCCGACCGCGTGGTGGCCTTCATGGACCACATCCGCATCTTCCAGGAGCAGGTGGAGAAGCTCAAAGCGCTGCACGTCGACTCGGCCGAGTACAGCTGCCTCAAGGCCATCGTGCTCTTCACCTCAGGTGAGCCCCGCTCGGCTCGGCTCGGCTCGGCTCGGCTCGGCTCGGTTCGGTTCGGGTGGGCCGCCTCGGGAGCGAGCGGGGCGCCCTCAGGGACGGGGACATCGCGGCCTCGAGAGCCAGGGGCACCCGCGACGCGGGTTCGAGCTCGTGCTGGGGGGACATAACAGCACAGGGGCAGCAAATCGAGGGGGCATGAGCCACAGAGAACCCCCCTCTGCACTGCTACTATCCCTCTTTTATTATTATTATTGTTATTATTGTTATTATTTTATTTTTTTCTTTTTCTACCGTGCAAAGGCACGTATATATCGTAATTTTAACAGATCGCCTTAAAAAATAATAATAAAAACACTGCCAAATTAAATGGAGGCGGTGGAAACATGCGTGCGTGCATGTTAACAATTTTTCCTCGTGATAGATGGTTCAAATTAACTGGCAGGAAAGTGCATTAACATCGCCTTTGAAGTGCTCTGGTTGTAGCCTATAAGAATATAATACATCTTTTATTATTATAACCTGCGCGAGAGAAATTTATAAACATCAAAGACGAATGATATGGATGGAACGTAGGGAAGGGAAGCAAGGCAAGATAAGAAGCCTCGCAATGTCACTTTTTAATTATTATTCTAATTATCGCCACGATGGGGCTAATTGCCGCTTTTGGGGTTTATTTGTTTTCCTTTTTTCCCCCTCTTTCCTTCTCTTTCTCTTTCGTGTTTCGCTTTCTTCTTTTTATTTATTTTTTTTCTTCTTTGCTAGTAGACTAGCCTCGAATTGCTAATAAATAAATAGTCCCAATAAATCTGACTTAAAACTAGGCCGAGGCAAAATTAAAAGCATTCCTGAACAAAGATGGCAAATCGTTCAAAGGCCTTGTTTAACAGTAAGCAGTTTATAATCCATCAATATTTGTTGCCTTTCATGCATGAAAAATAGTATTTACATTGTATTAAAATGACTCTTAAATTTGCACAATATTGTAATGTAGCAAATGTAGTATTAATATCGATTTGAACATCAGATAATTTATTTAGACAGGAGTATCTAATTTGTATGCAGGGTGGTCGAAGACATGTACTGTGACTGCCCCCTTTTACTTCCAGTGCAAATGCAGTCTTAGTGTTGGAGGGAATATTTCTTTGCAGAGGATAAAGTGCAGATCTTAAAACAAATGGAAGATTTACTGAATAGCCAGCTCGACATTTTAATGCATTTTATCTTAATAAGTCTTCCTGATGGAAACATGTTTTTCAAAAGTGACAAAGAGACCTGGCAGCATTTATCAGGCTGATTTAACTCCAGAGCCTGCCTGCAGACTTGTATACTTTCCATGCTCATTCATTTCAGGGTGTTCATCAATAAATAGGGCCAATCCGGGCAAACCTCTCTCTCTCTCTCTCCTTCCCTTTTTCTTTTTCTTTTTTTTTTTTTTTTCATTTATTCATTTTTTCTTCCTTTTTAATTTTTTTTTTCTCTTCAGTCTTAACTCTGAGAGAGACGTTGGTATGAGTCTTAGCACCCTTGCTCCTAGAAAAGGTCCCAAGAAGGCAGTTGCCCCAAGTGGGGATTTTGGGGAAGGAAATTTCCCTCTCAATCTCTCAATCTCTCAATCTGTCAATCTCTCTCTCTCTCTCTCTCTCTCTTTCTCTCTTCCCTCTCACTTTCTCTTCTTTTCTTCCTCTTCTTTTACCTTCCTCACATGATCGACCTTGGCTAGAACCACAGCTAGTGGCTTTAAGAGAGCATTTCATTTCCATAGATTAAAACCAAACGTCATCATTAAATGTTTGCGAGGGGAGAAGCCTCCTCCAACAATTGAGTGGAGCCTGAATGGGGTTTAGGAAGGGAACAATAATATTATTTTGGAGCTGGATCGCGTGGGGCATATCAGAAAATGGAAATACAGCTGTCAGAAGTAATCTACCCCTTCCCTTTACCCCCATCCACACATTTCCACTTTTGACTGAACTTGTTTTGATTGCTTAGCCAGAGGGGAATTCATGGGAAGCCTTGCTCAAAGTCATCCAACTTTTAAACAAACTTTGACTGATGGAAAAGACATTTTTAGGCATATTGTCCTAAGTCCTTCGCTGAGGACTAAGTATTTAAAGCTGGCATGGGTTTCTCCCCTTGTGGTTTTCACATTTGGGCTCCGGATAGTATATTTAATCCGGAAAATCCTGGACACCGTCCAAAGACTGGGTCGTGACCCAAAACCTGCTGCTTTCTTGCCTTTTTTTTTTTTTTTTAAGTTATTAATTCATGCACCTACCTCTCTCTTATAATAAATAAATGTTTCCAGGAAGGGGGCAGGCTAGATAACGCAAATCCAATAAATCTATTTGCAGCGCAATAAGAACTTTGATTTCTAGTTAGGTGCCAGCTGATTACTCCTATATTTCTTGAACACTAAACTCTTCTGAACGCCTTACATGAAATACTTTCCCACTACTACAAAGGGGAAGGCTGGGATGTGTTGAACAGTAATGATTATTTATTTACATAATTTCTTTTCCATAGACTGCGGGAAAAAATATGGAGCTTTCCCTTATTGACACACTGCCATATAAAAAAAAAAGTGAGGTGCACAGGATTTTCGCATTAGCTCACTTTCTTAGATGGGGTAATAATTCACCTTTGGTAAACACCTACTGCTTTATTTATTTATTTGTTTATTACATGTATTTTTTTGCACGGATCCTGCCTCTTTGGTCTTAATAATCCACTCGATCTTTGCATCCTTTAATTATGATTTTTAATCCCGTTTTAAATGGAGAATTAAGCCTCCCTCCATCCCTCCAGCTTCTAGCCACCTTTAAGGATGCGAAATAAAATCCAAATAAGCGCATATGCCAGACCATTTAAAATAATTAAAGCTCAGTAGATATTATCGGCGTGAGAAAATCCTAAGCGTTTGGAGATCTAACACAAAACACAACCCTCATTTTTCTCTCCCTCGCTGTCACCTTTGCAGCAAGTAACTTGCTCATCCACACTGTCCAGTGACCTGCAGTAGAGGTGGCTTCTCTCTTAAATATCTGATAAATATTTTACTAACCTTAAAGATATGACATATGGAGCTTAAAAAAAAAAAAAAAAGGAAGAAAGAAAGAAAAAAAAAGAAAAAAAAAAAGAAAGAAAGCAGAAAGCTCTGCTAGGGTGTCAGTAAGTCCCTTTCATATTGCATTGTTTGGAAGTTGAATAGGATCCTAATGCATAATGGGCAGATAATGCATGTAAAATAGCAAGATATATGTAAATATGGAGTGTGATTTGTGGCAATCAACATATGAACAGGCCTGTGGTTCTGATATATATTGGAAACAAGAGCAGGGCTATGCTTTTGATACATATATATGCTGCAGCCTGGTGCTTTAGATGTTGCAAAATATCGTTGCATTAAAGGCACAGTATGGATTAGCTGAGCAGTCTGACTCAGATAATTGTATATCTGAGGGATGCCAAGTCCGCAGTACAGGTCAAAGGGCCCTTTCTTCAAAAGTTCTTGAATTATGGCTTGTTTTATTTGTATTTTCGCTCGAGGCCATAGTATTGTAGATGAAGGTGTTCAGAAATCTTTGTAAAGCCGGTTCTTGATACAGAAAGACATAAACTTCAAAAAATGCGGTTGCTACAGATTTTTGCTTTGAATAATTTGTTGTGTCTTTCCAGGGTCATAATTCTACATTCCCAATTTTGTAATGTCCTTTTGGGGCCATTAGCATGCATTAATTCATATACAGATCTATACATTAGCAAAGTCTGGCTTTGATCTATATTAAACCGCACTGCCAGCTGACTGCTTCCCTGTGATCCTTATGCTTTTTTTTTTTGAAATATTTATTACTAATCTGCGAAACAATGTAGCTATATGTGAACCATGGAGGCAAACGCACCACGTTGCTGTGCCTGCAGGATGCTGTGCAAGCCGCTCACCGAGCAGCCGCTGCACAATTAGCCTCTGTGGGGCTGATGTCTACGCACACATAGGGGTGTGTATGTGCGGGTAGACATGCAGAGCCCTATCTATATGTATATATATGTGTGTGTGTGTATGTACACAGAGACGTGCAAATAGCCTAACCCCCGGGTTTGCAGGCTGCAGGTTCGCACGCCTGTGCGCAGCTGCTCGCAGGCTGCAAGGTGTGAGGGGTAGATTTCTGTTTCCAGGCGTGTGTACCGAGCTACCCGCTGGTCGAGGGGTGCATCTCGGCCCCCCCTCCTCCCCCGTGCGGCGTCCCCCGTCGCAGCCGCCTCCAGCTTTGTGTGGAGCTGCCGCATCCCGCCGCATGGCGATGCAGCCGCCGGGATGCGGGTGGCTCCGGGGACACGAGCCGGGGCTCGGGGGGGCCGCCCCCTCCGCACCCCGCGCTCCGCAACGCGCCCCGCGCCTTCATCTCCATGTCAACAGCGCGCCCCGCGCGGCGGCGTGCGCGGGGGGGCGCGTAGCCCGAGTCTCGGTGTTCTCCCCGCTTCCCCTCCCCCCAAACCTGTGTATTTTATATTATTTATCGTTATTTATGCGCTGTTATTTATGGCTATTTACCTGCCGGCGGGCGGTCGGGGCTGCCGGCGGGGGGGGCTCGGGGGGGCGCGCATCTCCCGCCGCTTCGCCGCCACTAACCGCTTGCCCCCCTTGCCTTCCCTCCCCTTGCCTCGCCTTCCCGCTCCGCTCCGCACCGCTCCGCCCGGCCCCGCGCCGCGCTGCGCGGCCCGGGCAGACGCGTGCGGCCTGTCGGACGCTGCGCACATCGAGAGCCTGCAGGAGAAGTCGCAGTGCGCGCTCGAGGAGTACGTGCGGAGCCAGTACCCGAACCAGCCGAGCCGCTTCGGCAAACTGCTGCTGCGGCTGCCCTCGCTGCGCACCGTCTCCTCCTCCGTCATCGAGCAGCTCTTCTTCGTCCGCTTGGTAGGTAAAACGCCCATTGAAACGCTCATCCGGGATATGTTACTGTCCGGGAGCAGCTTCAACTGGCCTTACATGTCCATCCAGTGCTCCTAGAGGGCGGCGCGCACCCCCGGTACGGACACTGCGGAGCGCGGGCGGGAGCGCACGCACCGAGGGCGAGCTGGGCTGCAGGGGGGCCCGGCCACGGGCAGGACACAAAAGGCGGCCCCGAGGAGGGTCAGATGCGTGGCCGCGTTTGGGAGGCAGAGAAAGAAAGGACCTTGTGTCTTTGGAGATTTTTTTTTTTTTCGGGGAGGGGGGGTTGGAGAGAGGAGGAGAGAGCGAGAAGGAGGAAAAAAAAAAAAAGACAAAAAGAGAAGGAGGAAAAAAAAAAAAA